CTCCTCTCCCTACAAAGTCTGTACTATTTGTTCCCTATGGACACAAAATACCATAAAACAATGAAGTAGTTGAGTGGAATGTGATTAAGCCTCAAAGCTTTAATCAAGTCTTTTGCTTTTGTTTCTAAACCTATAAGCAACAAAATGACGAAAGGTATACTTGAAGGAGACAATACCACCACCATCACTCTCTATCCCAAAATATACGGTTTCAGCAGCTCAATTTTTTAAGAATTATTATTTAACATATCCCTTAAATGAATTTATTTTCCCTAATGTTATCAATACAGTACCCCTACTAAATGTCATCTTTAAATATAAGTTGAATAATTAGATGCCTATAAGGTCTGATTTGAGTGGTAGTGAAAAAAAAATCCCTGCAGTTATAAATATTTCCCTCTAGCAGCTTTCCTTGATACTTGTAATCTCAACAATTCTTTCTCTAAGTATTTAGATGATCATAATAAACTGCAAAAATGATAAGATCACCTAGTGAGAAAATTAAGCCATAATGAACTACTTATACATTTGAATTAATTAGTGTAAGAGCCAGAGTTTAAGTTGGGCAAATAGGGAGGGAATTTGGAAGAGTCCACCAAAGCAAAATAGGCTATCAAGGTCCCATCCTGAAGTTTAAGATCCTCATGAGGTGAGCTTTCAAAAGTACCCATGAAGGGATCTAAAATGGTAAGTTTTTAGAGAAAACAACTCAAAACACATTCCCCTAACACATACCTACATTTGATCTTGACTCAACTTTAATGACAAGGAAAAAGAAGTTGATGCAGTTTACTAAAGAGTGATACCTAAATGTCTGGATATTCGCCAGGTAAGAGTCAGTAACAGTGCTTCAGCAACTGCCCTACTGCTGATCCTTAAATCAATTTAAAAATCAAATTCACTATTTTTAAGCAAAAAGTCCTTGCGTCATATTTTTAAGAACATCATTTACTCTTCCAGTAACAGCAACTTTTCATTGATGTAAACTCTTGGTCAACAAAAGATTAATAAATAATTTCTTCCTCAGGGACAAGAGGAAAAAATGAGAACCAGGACCTGTCATGTAAAGGTACAGGATGCCAGTAATGAATGTAACTGTATTGTATACCTAGAATGTACCAATAAACTCAACAAAAAGAAAAAAAATAATTTCTTCCTATCTAATATCTTTCTCATAAATGTTAGGTAGGAGTGATTATTTGGGTTACATCACACATGGTAAAGAAACAAAAAAGACCCATTCACATTTGAGAATTACTTACTATTTCAATTCCCTGTGCTCTCCCCTAATGGGAACTAGAATTACAAGACTGATCATAATTGGATTAAGAACCATAATTTTTAATTCATTCATCAAATTGAGGCATTTGGAACAGTTTATTTACAGAGTTGTTTAGACAGTTTTGTGTGGTGTTTTTAAAGATAAACCAAAATGCTTTTCTGAAATAAGTTTCAGATCCCAAATCATTCACATACGAAATCCAAATGTAGATGATTTACAAATGAGTGTTTTAAAACAATGTTTGGAACAAAATTGGACTTTTATTTTATTAACTATCTACAAATCTAAGTTCAGGATAGAGTTTATTTGAAAAAGCCACGCACTTTTCTTGCCTTTAAAATAAACCTACATTTCTCAGACTAAAAAATTGTCATGAGTGAATGAGGGAATGTATTTGACTTCAGGCCTAGACAAGTTAAGTTTTCAGGTTTCTCTCAAAACTCTAACTACAGCACTCTCTACCACTACAGTTGATCAGATATTGGGTGAACTATCTAGATTTTGTCAATCAACCACCTACAACAATTATACCTACCAAAAATCTGAATAGCATTCAGTATTAGAAGTCTCAGCTATATGAAAGCCACTGTATGTTAGGAAGTTATGAACCACAACTTTTGTCCTGTAAATTTCACTTCTTTATATGCTCTAAATATTCCTTTCAAAGCCATAGCTGGTTATCAATTCAATAAAAGAAGAGAGTTTTTCTAGAAGTACATTCTTGTAAGCATCACACTGTTTTTTTTTGTTGTTGTTTTTTTTTAGTTTTTTGGGGGGTTTTTTTTGGTACCAGGGATTGAACTCAGGTCCTTGTGCTTACAAGGCAGGCCACCGAACCACTGAGCTAAATTCCCAGCCCAACACTGTATTTTTAATCTGCTTTATAAGAAACTTCTGCAAGCAACCAAATACATTCTTTTAACTAAAGACAGAGTATTTGAAAACTTAAACTTATTATTCATGCCTTACCCTTAACAAGGATTGAAAAAATGCCATCATACTTAAGTAGTAACTTCATTCTTTTGTTATTCACTATGTACTCCGTACACTCCAAAGATAGTTTCTTTATAACTGTATTATTTTTCTCTACAGAATCATGTGTCAGTCTAAACAGAATGTGTGTTTACCTGAACAGAAACAATCTAATTTTAAATAACCACTGGACCTCCAACGCCTGGTTATTTACTAAGTAAGTTTGGCAGTTTTGAATCCTACATACAACATGCCATTTATCCAGAACTATTTAAACTCAGTAACAAAATTAGAGTTTCTGCATTCACAGTTGAAGATTTTTTCCTGTATTAAGAGTTTATGCTAGGGCTGGGGATTTAGCTCAGTGGATCTGCCACCTGCCTCGCAAGCAAAAGGTCCCAAGTTCGATCTCTGGTGCCAAAAAAAAAGTTTACGCTTTCAAGTCTGTGTAAGACTGGATTGATACTAAGCATTTAAAAAGACTACAAAAAGAAAAATTTAAAAACATAAAAGTAAACAAAAAATCAACAGGGTTAATTCTTCAGGTACAAAGTTGTTAGAAGACCACTAAAGGGCAGGGGGTTTTCAAGGGAGTATGCTACCATATAATTAACACAAATAACTAAATAATTATGCACATCCCTTCCCACCCCCACAATTAAAAGTTTTTAAACAACTCATGTGATGAAAGATCTACCTTTTAGGCAAACAAAGGCATTCTCCACTAGTTTAAGGATTTAAGACTGTATTGCATCAGTTTTAAGTGATGCTTATGATTTTTATCTCTTATAATTCTAAGGAATAAACAGTTGATGGCATAATTTGCAAAAGAACTTTGCACAATGCCTAAGAGAACTTTCAGTGTAAGTGGTTAAGATTTTAAATCACTGTGGCTGAATTTATCTAGGCTTCGGCCTGCGAGCTATATTAAATTAGGAAGAAGCACCCCCAGAAACTTTGTTCCATGTATCTGCATTTGAAACCAGATTCCTTTCGTATCTGAACTAACAGCAATTGTCATACAGCTGAATTCCTTTAAAAGTAGACAGATCAAAATTTAGCAGTTCTGAAAAGACTCTATGAAATTGTCCTTTTAAATGCTATAAAAGTCAAACTTAAAACCCATTTCCGTATATTTGTATATTTTAAAACCATCTGGCCCTTAACCTAATCATTCTTGGCAATCGAGCCTTACGCCTCTAATCCTGATTGAAACCTCTCCTCTGGTCGAAATGCCCATTGCCTTACACATCTCCCAGGAGCCTGCTTCACTGGCCTGGTGTGCACGCGCCCGTGTGTGTGTGTGTGTGTGTGTGTGTGTGTGTGTGTGTCTGTGTATTTTAAGGATACTTGGAGCATTTTTATGAACAAATCACTCTATGTAGTCTCTTCGCAGATTCCCACACTTATTACCCCAAATCCCACAGATTTCCCTTGGTCTTGCCCTAGACTCAAGAATTGTGCAGAGCCTAAAAGCATTCCCTGGGGAAATCTGCTTATGCCTTTCCTGACAAACTCCTTTGGATGTCCAGATATGGCAAGGATCTCAACTGGGTTAGAACAAATCTTTAAAACTTTTTTCAAGTACAGTTGACTGCCACTCAGCCACCTGGGCTGGCTGGGACTGAGAGTACAGCTCTGCATGTTCACAGAATTCTTCATTTTGACTTGCTATTGCTGAGAAGACACGGAAATACATTCACGTTCTTCACACTCTGAACTTAGTCACAGAGACCAAAGTCTTCAGATATTCACCAGGGTCGACCTACTTATTAATATATTCGCTTCACAATGTGTAAAGAAAAATGGCTATCAAAATATGTAAACAGCGCGTCATGTGCGTCCGATGCCAAAAGATCAATACTAAACACGTTGCTGTTTTCAAACTCAGACATTTCCAAATCCAATTGTGATTTCAACTCATATAACCTCTTTTCCTTGCTTCTCATTACTGCAGCCCAAAGTACAAGCAAGGTTTCCCGAACACGCGCTTAAAGTCACACACCACGTGAGTGGTCTATACTTTGTAGACGGAGTGAGGAGGGGGGAAAAGTAGTTGCAGTCAAAATTAAAGCTTCCGGTCTCTGAAACCCCTAGCATCCAAGACGATGAAAGTTGTTTCCGAAATTCCAGGCGGAAGGGACGGAAGAAGGGAGAGAGAGGAATGGCAGAAAGCGAAACAAAAAAGACTAAAGGCCTGGAGGGGGGCGCTGTTAAGGTTTCTGGGTGGGCTGGGGGTCGCGTTTATATTCTATCAAGAATAAGGAGCTTTGTCCAACTTTTGGAGTCCGCCTTTGGCGCCCGCCGCCGAGATGCCCATAGGAGCCTCTCGGGTTCTCTCCGCACTCCTGCTCTTCTCTCGCATCACCACCTCCGCCACCACCACCTCAGCTCTTACAAAACAATACGGCCAACAGCAAGCAGGCTTCCTCCCAACAGAAGATAAAGTTACCCCAGTTCCTGGTCTAGCTCCAAGCCCGCACTCCAAGGTCCCCCCGGACAGCCGACCCACGAAGATGTCAGGGCGGCTACCAGTCTCTGGGCTCGGCCCCCGGCCGGGTTCCCCTCCCTGCGTACTTGGGGAACTCCGGCGGCGGACCCCCTCCCTCTCGTTCCCTCCCTCCCCCGCGGCTCTCCAGCTGGAGCCGGGAGCGGGGCTGAGCGGCGGCGGGGAGCTCTGCGCCTTGGAGGGCTGCCACCACGACATCGGGACGAACAACAAAGTTAAACCGTGCGGTGCACGCACCTTACCCGAGCTCCTTAATGTCTCCTCCGGCGTGGGATGCAAAGTGGCACAGTGGCGGGCCGGGGGGGCCGCCGGGAGGAGACTGGAGATGGGTTTTGGTGGCTCGCCTTTTTCACTCTGGTGTGTGTGTGTGTGTGTGTGTGTGT